TGCAGCAACTTCAATTACGACTCTTGAGGCAATTACTCAAACTGCAGCTTTTTAAAAAATTTAGAAACACAACGGTTTTCAATAATAAACTGCAGTTTACCCATTCCTATGTGTGCATTCACACATATAAATAAAAACCAGCTGCTACTTGATAATATCACAAAGCATTTCCAAATGGGAAAGCTTTACACTAAAATCCAAGTAAGAATGTACTTAATTCCATAAACCAAAGTTTAAATAACTTTTTCAAAAAGTTGACATTGCTTCTCAGCCATCACCTTTTCAAGAAAGTTGAATAATGTTCATAAAATTTATTAATTTAACTGCAGATAATCTAGAGAAATAATCTATTTTTTAAAAATAATTTCATTCAGTACATTTTGTAAGTTATGGACCTCAGTGCTATTACAGATGATGAGCCAGATAAGTTGTTTTCTGGTGTGGGATCATAAAGTTAACATCCAGTGTGAGAAAAACAGGTTTCCTGCATATATTATTTCCTCTGTCTCTCAAAGTTCAAGACCATAAACAAACTCCTCTACAATGAACCCTGCGGTAGCTCACAATTCACACAGATGGAATATACACACAATATAATTAATCATTTAACAAAACTGTCTCCTCTAGTCTCCCTGAGTTAATAGTTCCAGTGATCACTGGTAAAATGTACTTCAGAGTAAAAAGAAAAAAAAAAAATGGGGAAGAGAAAAAAGCTTCAGTTAAACATCAGCTGAAATTGTTCTTTAAAGCTAAGACTTACAGCCCTGAAATTTATTTTAAATCTAAATGTTAGATGCTTTAAAAAAAAATCTCCTCCCAAGATTTTCTTAGTAAATGCCAGTTTAGCAGAAAATTTAACAGGATTTGAAACAACTTTTCCCAAGGTAACATATACTGTTAGAAATTAATTATTTAGCAATGAAGAGAGATTCAAAAATCATCACATGGAAATTCCTCAACCCTAGACTGTGTGTATATTTCAAGATTAAAACCATTTCAGTATCACTGGAGTTGCGCTTTAACTATACTTCAGAACCAGTCTGAAGAAACAACTTGTCAGAGAAAAGCTGACATAAAAATTAACAACTTGTTTATCAAATCTGAATTTCCCTATTAAAGCAAGTAAATCATGCCTTCTGCTGTACTAAACTGATGTCTTCTCAGTCTCTGCAGCCCCCTCCTTTCCTCATTTCTCACAACATACTTAAAAACAAAGTTAAATTTCCTTCATATAAATAAGAGGATTTCTCTCTCTCACCAATGGCTCAGCACTGAAACTTCTACCACACATCTTTCCACGCCTGTCTCTCCGCTTGCTCACGTTCTCAACACATTTTGCCTGATATTAGCTAAGTCACCACCATTTCCTAACCCTTTCAGTTTCTGACTCACACAAGCCTTTGCTCCAGTTTTGGTATGGAAATGCTTTGAAAGTACAACCCAAAAGAATCAAAAAAGTCCAAGTAGTGCCTGGCTCCCTGCTCCTTCCCATGGACTCCCATCACCCTCAACACTTCCCTCCTCTCCTCGCTCTACTGAACCGACTGACACCAATTCCTTAAACACATTTTCAATCCACAGCCTCAATTAGAGCAGGAATTATCCGTTTAACAACATTCACTAACCACGAGGCATACGTGAAAACGCTGATGCAAAGCTAGGTGTGTGCAACGCTGACACTCGCGAGGTCAGGACGGTTTTTACTAAGCAACCTGGGAGAGAGATTAAACACACAGCATGAGCTACTGGTTATTAACATCAGAAACATAACATATAGCCTGGGTAGATAAACAAAAAGCTCACAGCTAACATGAACAAATCCATCAAGGTATCTATCACTCTGAAGTATTATCAGACCTAAACCCATTATTTTTATTTGAAAGGTTTAACCAAGTCCTTTCTAGACATTCCCTTTGTAAATGCACACAAGGGTGAAAATCAAAACCCCATCGCGCTCAAGGTAGAAAAGAAAGAAAACATCATGTTTACACTTCATCTTAAACCCACCCCTAGGATGAAACAGCCTCCAACAGCTGTAGCTTTACACATCCAATGCACTGTTACACCAGGACACGCTTCATCTTAATGAAGGGTCTTTTTATTTTTGAGCTATTCTAACAGATTCTCAAGAAATTTCCAGAATTTTTAATGACTATTTTTGAATCAGCAGCTTTCCACTGAAGCTACCTGCATTTTAAAGAGGTTTCTGTCATATAACTGCAAACAGATTTTATATAATTTAGCACTAAAGGGATGGGTCTCTCCCCTCCAGTTGTAACTCCTTTGTATTCCTATTTAGGAATGCCTTGCTTGTTTGACCGAAAATGGAAGTGCCTTTTAGCTATGACACAGTATATATGAAAAACAAATAAAAATTAAGATTAATCTTCCTTCCACTATTGTGGGGAGAGAGAAGAATATGAAGAGATGCAAAACATCTGCTCTGGAGATCATTTTTCCCCCTAACAGCAAAATTCTTTCAGCAGTAACTCGTGAAAACAAAGGCTATTAAACTGTAAACTACAAAGACGATCGATTAGAGGCAGTATTCAGCCAAGACAAATTTTTCAGCATATCTCCCCATATTTAAACATCTAGATCTTTTACAGAAGGAAGATATTTCATTTGGGAGGTTCTTAATTGGGTCATTTTAGCTAAGTGGCAACCGCAAACACTTCAGAGGACTGGCACTTAAAATCCTAACATACTATTCTTGTGTTATTTTATTGCCAGAGCTGGGCAAGCATTTTTATTTGATAGTATGTTGTACCAGGTAAAACAAGAAAAAAAAATTTGTAAGCGTGTGTCCTAGCAGTTTCAGGATACACCAGACAGATCTCCTCCCTCCTCTCCTGTTCCCTTTCTCCACTCTATCCTTCTCTAAGCCCGGTGGAAGGGCACTAGGGTTTTGTTTTTAAACTTAAGATCCCTCTTGAAAACAGCTCTAGCCAAAATGTGCAACTCGTGGAACAAGACTGCGGCTCTCCAGCCCTCGCTGGCCCTGCCACAACAATGCAAAAGCCTAAGTTGCAAGGAGTTAATTGGATTTCACTGGCTAATGAAACGCAGTATTACTCGACATGCAATACAGACTCCATCAATGCACTTCTTGCTCACTTTTTCGATTTGTAGTTAGCTTCCTTGTCAATGCATCCACAGAACTTCCCTTGCTTTACAACCTGAAACTACTTTTAGAAAAGCCTTTCTACCTTCAGAATTCTTTCCCTTTACATTTGAAGTGGAGAAAATTCATCTCTCCCTTCCCTCCCTCCGACAACGCCTATCTTTTTGAAAGCGAGGGGCACACACATGTTGAAAAAACCCACAGCAAAAGAAATTAAAGCATCAAGAAGCAGCAAAGAAACATCCCAGTTTCTGCAGACGCTGAATGAGAGGGAGCAGCTTTTAAAATGGTTGGGCTGCAAGGTACATTCACCATCTCCCTTTCTAGAGACACTCCAGAAAACAAGGGAAGGCCAATTTCATGCAAGATATTCTCAATCCAGCGTCAGCCCGACATACCAGAAGAAAACCGATCAGCACCGGGATTAATATGGTGATGATTGCAGTCTCATCAATCGCAGCGCCAGCCATCCCTGCCCCCTTTATTTCCCCCTGCGCCCGAAGGGGGCGGGCACTGCAACATAATCACAGGTTTGAAACGCACACAAAAAAACCAAAGTCGGGGCTTTGGCGAGTCCCAAACAAGACGGACTGACGGACACCGCGATCCGCAGGCGACAAACGGCGGGGAGAGATCCAGGCACCCCCGGCTGCGCACAGTGAACCGCGCTTTTTTTGTAAATTAAAAATCGGAGGAAGAGGCTCGCACGCTACTAAGTCAACTGCACAAATCTTAATGCGAGATACAACATAGCTACTTAAAAAAAAAATAAATTAAAAATCACCTTCTTTACGATATGGCTCACCGGCCATCAAACGTTTCTATTTATGTACAAACGTGAAGTATCAACCGATAAATTAATTTAAAAAAAAAAATAACAGCAGACTGTGACCTTTAGATTGCGGGATGCCACCGTAATTCTGCACCCCGAGCAGAGCGAGTGAAACCCTTCCTCGGCAGTAAAGCGGCAATAAAAGGCAAGGCACTTATTTCCAGGAATTGTTCACTCATTATGGCAGGTTATTGCATACAGCCTCTAAATATTGACAAAGATCAAGCTCCTTCCATGCGGGGAAAGAAAACACAGCTCTTCCCAGCCTGCAAGTGTTTACTACGCAGTTCGCAGCCCTGGCTGCAGAGATCCACGCACCGCACCGGGCTCTGGAGGGGGGAGCAGCAGCAACACGCGGGTCAGGTGGGGAAACACAAAGGAGGGGACGAAGGGGCACCACGACCCCCCCTCCCTCCGGGTCGGGGACTGCGGCTCTGCGGAGCCCGTGTGTAAAAAAGCAGCCGCCCCCCGCCCTTACGGGGGAAGGGAGGGAGAGAGGCAGACGTGCAGCCCCGCGTTGTTCAACGCGCCCGAGGAGGGGACGCGTACCCGGAGAACACGCCCAGCCCCAGCGGGCAGGGCGACACCGCGCACCGCGGCGGGAAACGGCGCGCGCCGCAGCAGCCCCTCACACATACACACACAGGGAGCCCTCACCGACACCCCCCCCTCCAGGGAGCCCCATACACACACAGGGAGTCCTCACCGACCCCCTCACACCCCCATACGCAGGAAGCCCCTCGCACACCCCTCACACGCATTCACACAGGAACCCCCCTTCACCAACCCCCTGACACACACACCCCTTCGCACACCCAGGGAGCCCCTCACACACACACTGACCGCCTCGCACACATTCACACAGGGACCCCCCACCGACACCTTCACACGCACCCCCAAACACACACAAGCAGCCGACGCCCTCGCACCCCCCCTCACGGGCAAGCCCCTCACGCCCACACCGGGAACCCCTCAGCGGTTCCCTCACACGCCCCGGGGGTCCCTTGCAGACCACCCTCCCCGCCCGACACGCACCGTACTCACTTTCCCCATTTGTTGGCCACAGACAAAGTGCGGCGAAGACGAGCAGAAGCCCCCAGAC